AATGCCATAGCACTCTACCAAGGGTTAATAAGTGAGACTCTGTCTCAATAAATAAATAAAATAAAATAAAATAAAATAAAATTTACGTAAGGGAAGAGAGACAGAGCATGTTGTCCCTGTAAGCTGCAGTGAGTTTAGTTTATGCTAAGCCTGATGGGAAGGCATGAGATGGGCTCACTGCACCAAGGGAGGTCCAGGATGACTGTGGTGACACTGAGGCTTAAGGGCTACTTTTGTGTGCAGATGCCATGGTGTTGGGAATTTCCTAGGGCAGAGAAGGGCAATTAAGAGTAAGGTTGAATGGACACATGATCAGTTACTGTGTTGGTGGAGTCTGAGGCTCTAGAGCCTGGGGTGGCTTTTACTCATCTGTGGATGTGGTGAAAGACTCTGCAGGGCTCCAAGAAACTCTGTCTTATGCCAGCCTCAGCAGGAGAGGGGGTATTGGCATGTGGGACCACTGTGGGGAGGACCATGAGTCAGGTAGAACTCTCTCCCTTCCAGAGGATTTCCTTGACTCTAAGTGGCTTCGACCAAAATACATTATTTATTGGCTCATGGAACCAAAAAGTCCATAGAACTGTTTCAGATACAACTGGATTGAGGCTCAATGAGATAAAAAAGATTGTCTCTTGCCATCACTAACTTTTGGTTTGATTTACAGGGAGGATTCTCTTTTAGGAGGAAAGACGACTACCAGCAGGCCCAAGTCCCAAATCTGGCATACAAACTCCAGGGGCCAGGAAAGCCCCTCTGTTCTCACAATTCTAGCAAGTCCTCTGATTCATTAGCCTGCCTCAGTTCTCGTGCCCATCCCTACCCCCCTCATTGCAGCTTCAGCTTGAATACTCTGCCAACCAGGCCTGAGGTAGTAACGCAATCAATACTTAATGAACAAACAGGTAGATGAATGAGTAAGTAGATATTTCTGTCCACTATTATTAGTAAAGTCCTCTTCAGGCCTTTCTCCATTTCTCCCATTAAAAGTGGGTTATTCTGGCTCGGCGCCTGTGGCTCAAGCGGCTAAGGCGCCAGCCACATACACCTAAGGTGGCGGGTTCGAATCCCCAGCCCGGGCCCGCCAAACAACAATGACGGCTGCAACCAAAAAATAGCCGGGTGTTGTGGCGGGCGCCTGTGGTCCCAGCTACTTGGGAGGCGGAGGCAGGAGACTCGCTTGAGCCCAGGAGTTGGAGGTTGCTGTGAGCTGTGATGCCATGACACTCTACCCAGGGGGACAGCTTGAGGCTCTGTCTCAAAAAAAAAAAAAAGTGGGTTATTCTGATCTGCTTAGGGTGCTAAATGATTAAATTCTAGAGCTTGGCTTTAAAAAGGAAAATCTCCCACATTCAGGAGACTTACTGTTATGAACTGAATGTGTCCTCCCCAAATTCACATGATAAAGCCCTAACTCCCAGGTGAAGTTTGGGCTGACCAGATGTCCTGGCATATCACCAAGCAAACATTATCCTCCACCCCTCCCCAGCAGGTTGGCTGCCTGCCCTGTGTGGAACCCTGTGGGGGACCAAAAGGCAGCTTCAGGAAGGTATAGAAGATTCTCTAGCTATGGCCACTCACACAGAGTACAACTGAGCTCTAATCACCAATGTCAACCATACCCCCATTATCTTGAGGTCTGGACCCCACATGGCTCAGCTGGACTTTAACTCTATTCTTATATAGATCCCAAGGTTGGAGGCATACCACTATTTACACCCAGAGAAGAGAGTGTGAACAGGCCTGGGAAAGCATAGAACTTATGTTGGACAGAAACTGGCTGCAAATTCCCCTAATTGCAAACCTACCCTAAAAGTGTTCCATCTGGGTGTGCTCACTACCCCTCATGCCAACGGTGTAGTGGTCAAGAAAAATCAGGTAGAGGTGGAAACAGCAGGGGTCTCAACCCCAACATGTGGAACTGGCTGAGCACTATGGTCTGGAGGCCCTTAGGTCTGAGGTCTCCTGCTCTCTCATCAAACATGTCTCCCAGGAAACATTCTCTTCTCAGGAAGTACAATTTTTGGACCAGGGACACAGCTACATCCAATATACACATTTAGCTGAACTGATATTTTATTTTCTTTTTAGGCAAAAAGTTTCCAAAATTTTTAACATCAAAAGGTCCCACAGACCAGATCTGGATCCACATATTGATTCCTCAGCTCTCTCCCTTGATTCCTGAAGGGAGAGCCCAGCCACTGTGGCAGCAAAAACTGAACAACAAAAAAGGCCATGGCACCCACAGACACCAGGAGTATTGCCTGGGTTGCAAAGCCACACCCTAGGATTTCAGGATCTTTTCTCTTAGATCCAGGATGAAGGCTATGAGGTAAGCAGCACAGGGAAGATAGGAGAATCCAGAAAACCTGAAGATTATTAGCTGACAGTGACCTTGTAGCAAACAACACATCTGCAATTCCTGAGTTGTTCTGGAATCCTCACCCTCTGAAACCACACCTACTAGAACATTTGTGGATGCCTTTTTAGAACAAGCTCAAGCCTTCTGATTCACTAGACCCCTGACTTTATGTTACTTCTCTCAGTATTTCTATGCCCATTTATGTACTCTGCCCAATAGGCTCCTGTAGGTTATAGAGTCAGTCCAGAACTTACCTCCACATTCTAGATTTCAGAGGATTTGGCTTCTGAGCTGATTCTGAAAACAATTTCTTCTGACCAATACTGGAAGTTCTGGAACATTCCCTGGGAAAAGGGACCCACCTTTTGTTGTCCCTAGACACACAGAAGATCTCATACCAATTACCTCCTCCTTCAAGGTAAGCTCTGGACCCCAAAACAAGCCTGAAATCCAGGTGACAAGTCTTTCCCTGGAGTACTCAGGGAAAATACAAATTAGGACAACCTTCATTAGAGCTGTTCTCTCCCATCCTGCTGTACCCACTGAGGCAGAAAAAAGTCAGAGAACTTCTCCCTACAAAAGTTATTCTCTCTATTCATGGTGACAGTGCCCAACACTATTCTAAATCCCTCCACACACAGGGATTAGAATCTCCAATATTGGCTCAATGCCTGTGGCTCAAGCAGCTAAGGCACCAGCCATGTACACCTGAGCTGGCGGGTTTGAATCTAGCGTGGGCCCGCAAAACAACAATGACGGCTGCAACCAAAAAATAGCTAGGTGTTGTGGTTGGCACCTGTAATCCCAGCTACGTGGGAGGTGGAGGCAGGAGACTCTCTTGAGCCCAGGAGTTGGAGGTTGCTGTGAGCAGTGATGCCATGGCACTCTACCCAGGGTGACAGCTTGAGGCTGTCTCAAAAAAAAAAACCTCCAATATTGTTAGTGGCTTAAATGATAAAGCCTTCACTACCACAGTCCAGAGCAACATGAGACAGTCTGCTAGGGTGTAACAAGTACAACGTGTAGTGTCAACAATGTTCATGAAAATGGTAAACCTTCCCAGGAATTCCCTAGCAGACATTGGCTTAGCTCTTCCTCACCAGAGCTGGGTCATATCCACACCTACACCAGTCACTGGGGGAGAGAACAAGACCCATTACAGGCTCCACCATTCATAATTTTCTCTGTACCTGAACTTGCTGGAGTGGTGATAGATGCTCACTATGGAGACCTGCCAATGGTGGCAAGAGAATGAACTCTGTCACAAATTGGCAATGACATGATATTGCCATAGCCCTGGGCAGGTCAGAGTACAACACAGCTCCTGAAAGCTTCCCACACATCTGGCACGCATGTGGACTCTCCTCAGGTTAGATATTGATATGAATAAGGTTTAGCTTCTTTCAAATGACCTGTTCACAGAGGCTACTCTCCTCAATCTCATTTCTAGAATGAGACCTTTTGTGGTCAACAAGGTGCTAGTGGCTTATAGCTTTCCCACATGCCCTGAATTCCTAAGGCCTCTCTCCAATGTGCATTTTCTTGTGTTGAAGGAGGGTAGAACTATGTTTAAAGGCTTTCCCACATTCTGTACATTCATACGACCTCTCTTCTGTATGGAATTGTTGGTGCCGATTGCGGTAGGACCTGGTAGTGAAGGTTTTCCCACACAGACCACACTCATAGGGCCGTTCTCCAGTGTGAACTTTCCAGTGCTGATAGAGGCCAGAGCGAGTCACATAGGTTTTTCCACATTGCTTGCACTCGAAAGGCCTTTCTCCAGTATGAACTCTCTGGTGAAGAATGAAACTATTATTGTATTTAAAGAACTTCCCACATTCCGTGCACTCATAGGGCCTTTCTCCAATGTGAACTTTCTGGTGCCGAATGAGGGTAGACAGAACACTGAAGGCTTTCCCACATTTGCTGCACTCATAAGGCCTTTCTCCAGTGTGAATTCTCTGGTGCAGAACAAGTGCATCTTTGCGGTTGAAAGGTTTCCCACACTCACTACACTTGAAAGGTTTTATGCCAGTGTGTACCTTCTGGTGCTTCCTCAGTTTAGATGGGTAACTGAAGGCCTTCCCACACTCATTACACACATGAGATGTTTCTCCACTGTGAATTTTTTGGTGATTAATATGAGTTGACTTCTCCTTGAAAGCACTTCTGCCTGTTTGGCATCTGAAGGTTCTCTCTCCAGAGTGAGTTATCAGGTGGTCAAGGAGAGCGAAGGCCTTCAGGAAGACCTTCCCACAGTCACTACACTTGAAGGGCTTCTGTGCAGCATGAACTCCCTGCTGCTGGCCATGACTGGATCTGGGTGGGAAGGCTGCCCCATCCTCAGTGCTCTTGCTTGGCTTCCTCTCATTATGGATTTCCTGGTATTGGATAAGGTCTAAGGTGGCTGGAATAGCTTTAGATTCTCTGCACATAAAAAGCTTCTCTGACACGTGGACTCTGTAACTCTTCACTTGCTTGGGAGGAGTTTTCTCATTCTCTACTCTACACAGACAACCTGAAGGTAGAGAAGAATCAGTTACTGAGAGTTGGCCTGGAGGCAGGAGGTATCTTCATTACCAATGCACATCAGACATATCCAGAGAGGACTTTGAAGAATTGCCAGGTTGTTGGGAAAGGCCTAGATGAAGAAGGGCTGGCCCAGCAGACCTGTGCTCCACCAGACTATAGAACAGGGAAGACCTCAAATGAGATGAGGACACAAGACAGAGTATACTGCGGAGAAGAGAGTTGGGAGTCTCCAGGTCACTCAGGTTTTAGCAGGGCCTTGGCTGCTTGTGACAACTGAGCATCATGAAGAGGCATGTGTCTAGTTCCAGCAAAATCTGATTGCAAAATAGAATCTGCACCCAGATGCAATGACTCAAGCCTATAATCCTAGCACTTTGGGAGGCCAAGGAGAGAGGATTGCTTGGGGTCAGAAGTTTAAGACCAACCTGAGCAAGAATGAGACCTTATCTCTACAAAAACTACAAAAATTAGCCAGATGTTGTGGCACATGCCTATAGTCCCAGTTATTCAGGAGACTGAGGCAGAAGGATTACTTAAGCCAGGAATTTGAGATTGCAATGAACTTGCAGGGAGCTATGATCATGCCACTGCACTCTAGCAGGGGTGATAGAGTGAGACCCTACCTCTAAAAAATAAAAAAAGTAGCTGGTGTTAAAGTATTATTTAAGCATTACCTAGTTTTCAAGTATTTATTTTTATTTATTTTATTTTTTTGCAGTTTTTGGCCAGGGCTGGGTTGGAACCTGCCACCTCTGGCATATGGGGCCAGCGCCTTTAAGCCAAAGGCACCACCCTATTTATTTACTTTTTAAAAGATGGGAGTCTTACTCTGTAACCCAGGTTGGGAGTGAAATGGCATCCTCATAGCCCACTGCAGCCTCAAACTCCTAGGTTCAAGTGATTGCCCCACCTCAGCCTCCCGAGTAGCTGAGAGTATATAGATGTGTGCCAGCATGCCTAACTGGTATTCAAGTATTATTTAAGAAAATGTGCATATGTCAAGTCACTTACAGAGTGGTCAACAGTGGAAAGCTCTTTGCAGGCACAGAGAAGGGGCAATGTCATCTATAGCCTAAGAGTCATGGCAAAGATAACAGACCACAATGTCTAAAGGGAGAGGAAAAGTGGGAATAAGGTATGATCATTGACCTGGGCGCCAAAATGCCAGTGCACATAGGTCCCTAGCATGTTGTGTGGCCACTGCTGAAACCAAGGCATCCTCCAGCTCCACTCACCAAGACCAGGACCTATCTTGGCCTCCATTCTACTGACTGGAATCACTTTCACCCTGCTGGGAACTCAGGATTCTTTTTTTATTTTAAGACAGAGTCTCACTTTGTCACCCTCAGTAGAGTGCTATGGCATCATAGCTCACAGCAACATCAAACTTCTGGGTTTAAGCAATTCTCTTGCCTCAGCCTCCCAAGTAGCTGGGACTATAGGCACCCAGCACCAATGCTTGGCTATTTTTAGAGATGAGGTCTCACCCTGGCTCAGGCTGGTCTCGAACCTGTAAAATCCACCCACCTCGCCTCCCAAGTGCTGGGATTACAACTGAGAGCCACTGCACCCGGCAGAACCCAGGATTCTTCACCATCCTCCAGTTGGGTGGACACATGGGATCTTGAAGGTGCAAGTCCTAGAGGTGATAGGTAGTAAGAGGCTAAACCAAGATAAAGCTGACCTATCTTGCTATACAATGTCATCATGGCAACCAGGAAGGAAACTTGAGTAGAAGAAAATGAACTTCCTATGTACACTTAGAAATTTATTAAGAGGATAAATCTTATCTTTACTACCAAAGACAAACAAAAAAAAACCTATGAAGAAAAACTGACATAACTAACATGACAAATAGACAATACAACAATAAGAGTAAAAGACTTCAATTTCCAACCTTTAATAATGGATAGAACCACTAAAAAGAAAATGAAGAAGGACACAGCAGACTTGAACAACACTGAAAACCAACTAAACCTAACAGATATCTATAGAACATGCCACGTAACAATAGCAGGATATACGTTCTTCTCACATTCTCACATACATGTGGAACATTCTCAAGGATATGCCATTTGGTAGGACATAAAACACCTTCAGTAGATTTCAAAGGCTTGAAATTGTACAAACTATGTTCTCTGTTCACAAAGGACTTATGACAGAAATGAACAACAGCAAGAAATTTGGGAAATTCATAAACTTATGGAATTTAAAGAAAATATTCCTAAATAACCAGCCAATGAAAAAAACATCACACAAAAATTACAAAGCACTTTGAGATGAATGAATAAGAAAATATAGCATACCAAAAGTTATGGGATGCAGAAAATACAGTGCACAGAGGGTAAATTATAGCTATTAATACCCAGTTTTAAAGAGGTCTCAAAACAATTACCTTGACACTTTATGTGTCAAGGAACAAGAAAAAGAAAAGTAACTAAACTCAAAGCTAGAGGAAGGAAGGACATAATAAAGATTAGAGCAGAAATGAATGAAATAAGATTCTGGAAAAATAAGAGAATAAACAAAACCAACATTTGGTTATTTGAAAACATCAACAAAATTGACAAACCTTTACCTAAACTGACAAGAAAAAAGAGAAGATTCAATTTACTACAAACAGGAATGAAAGAGGGGATGTCACTAGTGACTTTAAAAAAATAAAAAGAATAAGGAAGTACTATGAACAATTATGACAATAAATTAAATAATTTAGATAAAATGGACAAATTCCTAAGTAGACACAAACTAACCAAAGCTGAAGAAACAGAAAATCTCCCTATATATAAAACAAAGAGATTTTTGCTATTGTTAAAAAAAACCTTCCCACATCTTAGCAGTGGATCACTAAAAAAGGAAATAAAAAAGAACCCCCCTCCCAAATCAGTATGGAAGCAAAACTCAAGGTAATTCAAGTAGGTGGGAAGAGGGAGGATGGACAAAGGGGTGGGTAAATTCACACCTAACACTCTCTGGGTGAAGGGCACACTTATAACCTTGACTTAAAATACACAAAAGCAAACAATGTAACCAAAATATATGTGCCTACATAATATTCTGAAATTAAAAAAAAAAAATTAGTACAAACTGAAAAAGAAAGAAAAACATTGGAGCAAATCTTAATGGGAAAAAAACAATAGGACCATATGGCTTCAATAGTGAATACAGGGAGTACCCAGGTTATGGATGAGATAGGTTTTGTAGGTTTGTTCTTAAGCTGCATTTGTATGTAAGTTAGAAGAGGTACATTTACCTATGACCTATAACACCCCTGTTAGTAAGTGAGAGTAGTACATCAGTTGGATGTAACTCAGGGACTTATTATAATAGCCTACATTTCTTAGAGCGAGTTGTATGTAAGTCAGATGCTTATAACCTGGGGATTGCCTGTACTAACAGCACTGAAATAAAAATTAAAACCAATACTTTACAAACCCTTCCAGAAAACAGAACATTTCCCATTTTAACCACTAAAGCCAAAATTACCCTCAAATTAAAAAGGAAAAAATATTACCCTCAAATTAAAGACATTATAAGAAAATAAAACTATGCCACCAATTGCTCTTATGAATACAGATGCAAAAATCCTAGAAAAATATGCTAGTAAACGAAATTCAGCTAGCAAAACAAAAAAAGTATTACAAGTAATATAGAGGGAATTTATCCTGGTAATACAAAGTTGAACATATGAAAATCAATTACCATAAATATACCATGTTAATAAAATGACAAAAATCACATGATCATTCCATTAGACATGAGAATTCCATTAAATTTGGCAAAATCTTCTAAAGACCTCTCGTGATAAACGTCTACAACAAACTAGCAAGAGAAGGGAACTTCCTCACCTGAAATGGGCACCTGCAAAAAACCAAAATCTAACTTAATAATAAAAGACTCAATGCTTTTCCCTCAAGATCAGACACAAAACAAGAATGTCTACTGTTACCACTTCTGTTCAATAAAGTACTGGAGGTTCTAGGTAGATCAGTGATGCAAAGTAAGGAGTAAAACTATCTCTTCACAGATGACATAATAATCTTACATATGAAAAATAGCAAAGACTCTACTAAAAAACTATTAGAACTAACAAATTTGGCAATACTGTAGGATAAAAGATCAGCATACAAAAAAACAATCATAGGCTTGGCGTCTGTGGCTCAAGTGGCTAAGGCGCCAGCCACATACACCTAAGGTGTCAGGTTCAAATCCAGCCTGGGCCCGCCAAAACAACAATGATGGCTGCAACCAAAATATAGCCGGGTGCTATGGTGGGCACCTGTGGTCCCAGCTACTTGGGAGGCTGAGGCAGGAGATTCGCTTGAGCCTAGGAGTTGGAGGTTGCTGTGAGCTGTGATGCCATAGCACTCTTCCCAGGGGGATAGCTTGAGGCTCTGTCTCAAAAAAAACAAAAAAACCAAACAAACAGACAAAAAAAATTATATTTCTACAACTAACAATGAATAATCCAAAGTAAAATTAAGAAAAAAAAATTCATGTAAATAGCATCAAAAAGAATAAAATACTCAGGAATAAATTTAACAAAAGGCATGTACACTTTGTACACTGAAAATATAAAACATTGCTGAAAAATATTAAAGAGCTGGTTGGGCATGGTAACTCTTGTCTGTAATTCCAGTACTTTGGGAGGCCAGGAGTTCAATACTGGCTTCAGTAACATAGGAAGACCCTGTCTCTACAAAAAATAGCAAGATGTGGTGGCAAACACCTGTAGTTCTAGCTACTCAGGAGGTTCAATCAGAAGGATCTCTTGAGACCATGTGTTTGAGGCTGCAGTGAGCTAAGGATGATAACATTGTACTGTAGCCTGGTAACAAGACACTGTCTCAAAAAAAAAAAAAAAAATTAATGTGCTAAGTAAATGAAAAGATGTTCCATGTTCATTGATCTAAGACTCAATAAGAAGATGGTAATTCTTCCCAAACTGATCTATTGATTCAAATTCATGGCTCAAGCTCAGGGAGGGCTCTATAAAATTTCTTTTGGAGAAAGAAAGAGAAACCTGGAGGGACCATGTCTTCAAGAGTAACAGGGACAGACACAGGCAGAGCTGTTTGGGATTTGATAAGCAAACTGTGAAATATCTCACTCCCAAACCCTGCTACACTAGGTCGTAGAGCAACAGGTTTTGAGTCTGCTAACTGGGCTGCTCAGAGAGAGGCAAGGAAAGTGCACACAGTCCAGTCCGGCACCCACAACACTTACGATATGAAAACTGGGAAGGAAGAGCATTTCTAGTCTAGCTTTGGTATAGACAGAACTTCCTATGGGGAAAGGCAGAAGTGGGTCGTGTGCTGAGGAAATGTGAGACTTACCCAGGGAGCTAATGAGTGCAAAGTTCTCCAGCATCACATCATGGTATAGGCTCTTCTGGGTCACATTAAGGAGCCCCCACTCCTCCCGGGAGAAATACACAGCCACATCCTCAAACATCACCAGGCCCTGAAATGATGGGTTCAACTGAGCCTTAGGGTCAATGGTGGGCAGAAAAAACAACCAAAATATGGAAAGATGGACCCATCCAGGCCTTTGACCTGTGCCTCAGGATGCTGTCACATCTCCCACTTACATTATCTTTCCCTATGAGCCCCAAACCTTACACATTCCCTTATACCACTCTTCTTCCAGGAGTCCTACTTCAGAGGCCTACCAGAGCTTCTGGGGTCATTGGTGCCTCCAGTGTTACTACTGGACACTGTGTCCAGCCCACAGCAACAACAGGCTAGTGACCAGGCTAGTGCCATTCTTCCTTAGGACCCAAGTACCTGGTCCTAGGTCTCTCCAGTTTGCCTTTCTGCCCTCCAGGAACACAACTGTACGGCAGCATGCTTTACACCCCCAGGCACAGCCTCACTAGTTCACCCTATAGGCAATTAATTCCCTGGTCTCCGCACACGCAGTTCTGCACATGGTGTCTCCAGAGTGCCTCGCACAACAGCCACAATCCCATCCTATCCCAGTCTTGACCCGCATCTCCAAGGATCCCCACTGCCATGGCCGTCCCCTAGTCCTGCAATGAAGTCCTCCCGACCTGGACCTATTCCTTTGCGGCCCGGAACCACACCGAGATCTCCGAGACTCCCAGCTTTCCTCTACCTCTGCCTGTCCCCTCACCTGACACGGCCTTCCTCGCTCCTACAGGGCTACCCTCCACTCACCTGCGCTTCCTCGGCCATGGGCACCTGTGGACTAGACGGCGAGTGCGCCGAAACACGTCTCCACCAGCCCTGGCAACTGCAGGCTCTGAGGTAGCTCTTCTGAGTCGAGAAGCGACGCGCCCAGGAACTGGGGGGCTCCTCCGGGACAAGCGGGAGGGCGGCCGGGTACGGAGGCCAGGTCCTTGTGAGCGACACCAAGTCTCAGGAAGGGGATGATCCGCCGGTGAGACCACGGTGCGTGCTGAGAGCGGAGAGGGTGCCTGCCCTTCACCTTGGCCGAGACACCCCAGGGAAGTCACCCGGCAAGAAGCACTAAGAGCAGCCCCGCAACTGCAGGGCAAGGACGCCGCGCAGGACGCCAGAAGGCCCACCCGGCTCCCTTGCCGCGGCCCCAGCAGCCACCCCCACTCTGTGACGTCACGTCCTGCTCCCTGCGTCTCCGCTTGATGGTTGCCACTGCAATACTGGGGCGTGATGCTAACTACTAAAGGGCGTGCGAGCGACATTTCTCACCAGATGTCGCCCTGTGATTACATTGAATCTATACATTGAGTTGGGAGGAATTAACATCTTTTTATTTTTTATTTATTTTTTGAGACAGAGCCTCAAGCTGTCCCCCTGGATAGAGTGCCCTGGCATCACAGATCACAGCTCCAACTATTAGGCTCAAGTGATCTGCTTGCCTCAGTTTTTCTATTTTTACTAGAGATGTGGTCTCGCTCTTGCTCAGGCTGGTCTCGAACCTATGAGCTCAAGCAGTACGCTGGCCTCGGCCTCTGAGAGTGCTAGGATTACAGGCGTGAGCCACCATGCCCAGCCTACTCCTCTGTATTGTAACTTTTTCTGTTTATATCCCCCTACTAAGCTGACTTCTTTTTTTTTTTTTTTGAGACAGAGCCTCAAGCTGTCCCCCTGGGCAGAGTGCCGTGGCATTACAGCTCACAGCAACCTCCAACTCCTGGGCTCAAGCGAGTCTCCTGCCTCCACCTCCCAAGTAGCTGGGACTACAGGCGCCCGCCACAACGCCCGGCTATTTTTTGGTTGCAGCCGTCATTGTTGTTTGGCAGGTCCGGGCTGGGGATTCGAACCCGTCACCTTAGGTGTACGTGGCTGGTGCCTTAGCCGGTTGAGCTATAGGCGCTGAGCCACATCTTTTTATTTTTTGAGACAGAATCTCACTCTGTCACCCGGGGCTAGAGTGCAGTGGCATCATCATAGCTCACAGCAACCTGAAACTCCTGGGCTCAACTTCAGGAGGCGATCCTCCTGTCTCAGCCTCCGGTTTGGCTGGGACTACAGGCATGCGCCACCGTGCCCAGCTATTTTTAGTAGAGACCGAGTCTTGCCCTTGCTCAAACCGGTCTGGAACTCCTGATCAAGGGTAATCCACCTGCCTCAGCCTCCCAGAGTGCTGAAATTACAGGTGTGAGACACATTGCCCCACCGCTTAAATCGTTCTTAAAAATCCACTCCTCAGTTATTCACTGACATAGGGTTGTCCTCTGTTATGACGTGGGCAGGAATGTTACAGTTCAGTGTTTCTGCCCCTGCCCCGTTTGTCCCTGTTCCAGCAGCCGTGGCCCTGATAATTCCACTTACAGAAACTCCGGAGATGGGACATTGAAGACTCAGTAAATAAATGAATTCTACAGTGTATTGAATAGCCTTTAAGGAAATACAAACTATCTTCCACTGATAAATTCACAATGAAACATAATCTAATGTGTATAAAGAGTGGGGAAAGCCTTCAGTTCCATCTCTGACTCAAGAAGCCACTAGAAAGTCCACACCAGGGAAAAGCTTCATGAATATGACCACTGGAGAAATGCCATTAGTCAAATCCAAATCCTGCCCCTTGTCTACTACCAGAAAGTTCTCACCAGAGAAACCTGAGAGAGCAGTAAATATGGGAAAGTCTCTACCCGAATCTTTAGCCTCATCCATCACACCAAAATCATACACCTTTGGCATCCACAGAGAAGGGGCTGGGCACACAAGGTGCTGCCAGCTACTGCCTCTCTGCTTCCCAAGCCACTGAGGGACAAGACAGCAACTTCATCTGCACAAGCCTATCATTTTCTGAAGAAAATGCACCAGTCCAGTTTGAGGTAACCCCAGAACCTAGAGAGTTCTGGTATATCATATGGACTTTTCACCCTTTACCCTGAAGAGTAACAGATTTTTCCATCCTGTAATCCTAGAGCTTTAGGAGGCTGAAGTGGGAGGATTGCTTGAGCCCATGATTTTGAGGTTATGGTTATGATGATGCCACTGTGCTCCAGGTGGGGCAACAGTGAGACTCTGTCTCAAAAAACCAAAAACAGGCCAGGTGCAGTGGCCTGTACTCCCAGCACTCTGAGAAGCTGAGATGGGTGGATTGCCTCAGCTCAGGGGTTCAAGACCAGCCTGAGCAAGAGCAAGACCCCATCTCTTAAAAAAAAAAATAGCAGGGCATTGTGGTAGGCCTCTGTAGTCCCAGCTACTTGGGAGGCTTAGGCAAGAGAATTGCTTGAACCCAAGAATTTGAAGTTGCTGTGAGCTATAATGCCATGGCACGCTACCAAGGAAAACAAAAGTGAGACTCTGTCTTGAAAGAAAGAAAGAAAGAGAACCGGAGGGAAGAGGGGGGGAGGGGAGTGAAGTGAAGGAGGAAGAAAGAAAGAAAGAGGGAAGGAAGGAAAGAAGGAAGGGAGGGAGCGAGAGAGGGAAGGAAGGAAAGAAAAAGAGAAGGGAAGGGAAGGGAAAGGAAAGAAAAGAAAAGAGTAGAATAGAGACAGAAAATAGATGGGAATTGCTACCAGGGGCTGAGGGGAGGGAGGAATGGGACATGACTGCTAGAATATGAAGTGAATATACAACCAATGAATTGTATAACACCATCTAATATTATGCTATATGAATTATATTTTAATAAAGCTGTTAATTTTTTTGAATCTATGGATCTGTTACCATACATAGCAAAATGGATTTTGCAGATGTGATTAAATTAAGGCTTGGGATGGGAGGATTATCTTGGATTTTCCAAGTGGGCCCAGTGTTCTCAGAGTGCCCTTATAAGTGAAAGGGACCAGCACGAGGATGATGCACTGCTGGCTCTGCTCTAGAAGCTGGGCAAGCTAACGGGTAGAATCTCTCTTTGAGCCTCCAGAAACAACTAACCCTGTAGGCATCTCTACTTAACCCAGTAAAACTGATCTTGGACTTCTGGACTGCAGAACTATAATGTGCATTGTTCCAAAGAATTGAGTTGTGGGTAAATTGCACTGGTCCCAGCCCCTATGGGTGACTTTAGCACTTGGGTTGGGCCAGGAACTGGTTTGGGAAGACACACCTTTGTCTCCCTGGTGTTCCTCCTCTGGCTTCCCACCTGGAAGCAGTAGCTCACACCAGAACTAGTTCTACAGACAAGGCTGGGCCCTGGCTTCATTCCCAGGCTGTCTCTATAATGCTGTCACTCCCCAGTAACTTTGTGGCACCCACTGTGTGCTGGGTGCTGAGGACAATATGTAAACAAATCAAATAGGAGCCTTCAGCTCACTGAAGTCAAATTTCTCTCTAGGCCCACAACACACAGCACCCATCCCTGGGCAAGGCAAGGCAGGATGGGAGCTCTAGGGCCTGGAAGGAGGGAGACAGAAGTCCCTGGTTTGGCTGGACACAGTGGCTCACACCTGTGAGCCTAGCTCACTGGAAGGCTGAGGTGGGTGGATCCTTTGAGCTCTGAAGTTCAAGATCAGCCTGAGCAAAATGAAACCTTAAAAATAAAATAAAATAAAATGGATGGCATCCATAACTCAGTGGGTAGGGTGCCATCTACATACACCCAGGCTGGCAGGTTTGAACCCAGTCGGGGCCAGCTAAACAACAATGACAACTGCAATGAAAAAATAGCCAAGCATTGTGGCAGGCTCCTGTAATCCCAGCTACTTGGGAGGCTGAGGCAAGAGAATTGCTTAAGCTCAAGAGTTTGAGGTTCCTCTGAGGCCATGGCACTCTACTGAGGGCAACATAGTGAGACTCTGTCTCGAAAATAATAATAAAAATGAATAAAATAAAATAAAATAAAATAATTAGGCAACACCTGTAGCTCAGTGAGTAGGGCGCCAGCCACATGTGCCAAGATTGGCAGGTTCGAGCCCAACCTGGGCCTGCTGAACAACAATGACAACTGCAACCAAAAAATAGCTGGTGTTGTGGTAGGTGCCTGTATTCCCAGCTACCTGGGAGGCTGAGGCAAGAGAATGGCTTGAGCCCAAGAGTTTGAGGTTGCTGTGAGCTGTGACGCCATGGCACTCTACTAAGGGTGACATAGTAAGACTCTGCCTCAAATAAATAAATAAATAAATAAAAATAAAAAAATTAACCAGGCATAAGGTGGGTGCCTGTGATCTCAGCTACTCAGGAGAGTAAGGAAGGAGGATCGCTTGAACCTAGGAGTTTGAGACTGCTTTTATGTTCTTTTTGTGTGTGTGTGTGTGGTTTTTGGCTGGGGCTGGGTTTGAACCTTCCACCTTCGGCATATGGGGCCAGTGCCCTACTCCTTTGAGCCACAGGTGCCACCCTTGAGATTGCTTTTAGCTATGATGTCGCAGATCAGCAGAGTGAGATTTTCTCAAAAGAAGCTGCAGCAGCAGCAGCAGCAGCAGCAGTTCCATGTTCAATCTGCTAGTGGTACCTGCCACTAGCCTCCTGTGACTAACCCAGAAAGTCCTCTGAGAGGAGGAAGACAGGAGCCCATAAGCCACCTTCTTGGGAGGCTGCTGTCCACTGAGAATCCCAGGCTTTGGCTGGGCACACAGAGGATACTATGCAGGACAGGTGGAGCCCTGGAGGACAAGGGGGAGTAACTGGCCCCAAGAAAGTAATTGGAGTGAGGGGGCTCTGGTGGACAGGGAGAGGAGCCAAGGACCCCTGAAGCCAGCTAGTGAGCATCAGGATGCCCCACCCTACTGTGTGTATCCATCTGACTCACAGGGGTGATCTTAGCCTCTAGGAGCCGTGACCACAGCTGTCCCACAGCATAAGGACAAGCTATAATCCACAGGGGAAGTCAACGCTCAAAATTGGTGTGGGAGCTGGTTTTTGAGACTCAAGGCCCTCACTAGCACTGGTTAGGCCACCCCTGCCTCTTTCAGCCCCAGCACCCACCCCAGCTGCTATGTAGGGTGATGACTGTGCACCACGACCAGCTGGATCCACCAAACCCAGTCTGGACAGTGGAGTAAAAGAACTAAGTCCACAGACTGCAGATTGGAGAGGGGGCAGGGATTGTCCCCTCCAATGGGCCAGTGGGGAGCAGCATGACAGGGACAATAGCCTGCAGCAACTTTGCTCTCCAAAAGTAGGAGGCGCCAGTGGTGTTACTGGGGTGCTGCAGAGTACAGAGGAACCCTGAAGTCTCCTCTCTGATTCGTTCCCTAAGTCGGGTGCCCTCTGCATGCTCTTCTCCAGCCTCGCTGGCCTGCTTCCTGTCCAGCACACCCCTGTCTCTGGGCCTTTACTTTTGCCATTCCCACTGCCTGCCTGATTCAAAAGCCACTTGTCAGGCTCCGTGCCTGCAGCTCAGTGGCTAGGGCACCAGCCACATACACCAGAGCTGGCGGGTTCGAATCCAGCCTGGGCCTATCAAACTACAACTACAACCAAAAAATAGCTGAGTGTTGTGGCAGGCGCCTGTAGTCCCAGCTACCTGGAGGCTGAGGCAAGAGAATTGCTTAAGCCCAAGAGTTTGAGGTTTCTGTGAGCTGTGATGCCACGGCATTCTACCAAGGGTGACAAAGTGAGACTCTGTCTTAAAGAAAAAAAAAATAAAGTCACTTGTCAGAGGATCACCTCCTCCCCACCCACATATACACGTCTCTGAGTTGTCCCTCATCCTGTTTTCTGTGTCTCCATAGTTCTATACACCGTTGACCTCTGTATCTTTTTTTTTTTTTTTTTTTAGAGACAGAGTTTTACTTTGTTGCCCTCAGTACAGTGCCCTGGCTTCACAGCTTATAGCAATCTCAAACTCTTGGGCTCAAGCGATTCTCTTGCCCCAGCCTCCTGAGTAAACTGGGACTACAGGTGTGCACCACAAAGCTGGGCTTCTCAGGATGTTTTCAGTAGGCACTGAATAAATATTTGCTGAGTTAGGCTTGGTGCCTGTGGTTCAAGTGGCTAAGGCGCCAGCCACATACACCTGAGCTGGCAGGTTCGAATCCAGCCCAGGCCTGCCAAACAATGATGGCTGCAGCCAAAAAATAGCCGGGCGTTGTGGTAAGAGCCTGTAATCCCAACTACTTGGGAAACGGAGGCAGGAGACTTGCTTGAGCCCAGGAGTTGGAGGTTGCTGTGAGCTATGATGCCACAGCACTCTACCCAGGGGGACAGCTTGAGGATCTGTCTCAAAATAGATAAATACATAAATAAAATAAAATAAAAATATATTTGTTGAGTTAAAAAAAAAATGTAGGAGGCCCTTGCCAGCTGTGGCAGCCCAGAGGCTGAGCAGGTCAGACGAGGGTGAGGGTGCTCCCCAGGGCTCTGCAGGGCAGTGCTGTGGGTGCCCCTAGCAGCACACTTAATGGGGTGACACTTGGCAGACCTCCGCATGAATGGGGGGGTTCCCCACCTGCACCCCAGAGAGATGAGGATCAGGGATGCTTCCAAACGGATATCACAGAGGCAGGTCCAGAGCATCCCCCAGCGCAACCCAGGACCTGTAGAGACATCACAGGACACCAGCTGGACAGACATGAGACTCAGATGTGACCTTCTGAATGTCCCTGAGGATCCCTGTGAGATAACCGAATGATTGCTCCTCGAGAGGGTCCTTGCCCCAGCGTGACACTGCCAGGGCCGCTCCGACAGGCCCAAGTTTGGAGAAATGCCTACTTGCAATGCCCGCTGCAGAGGACCCAGGATGAGAAAAGTCCAAGCTGGAGACCGGCCGCCCAGCGCGGGAGCATTTATTGAGGCCCCCACACCCTCCTCCCGCCTGAGCCCACAGGACTCAGCCAGGGCGTTCCTCTGCCCCCCACTTGTGGTCTGACCGCACGTCCAGTGTCCCCTCAGCCTCTGCCGGGTCCCCGGGACCACGCTCCAGCTCCCCAGGGTCACCCTCAGGCTCCAGCGCGTCTTCCGCAGACCCGGGCAGGGCAGCGTCCGGGTTAGCACCTGAGGGCTGCGGCGCCCGGACAGGCGTCCAGGGCGCCCCTGGCGTGGGCCGCAGTGGGAAACAGGAGAAGCCGGGCGCTGGGGCTAGCTCCACGAGTTGGGGCCGCGCAGGGCTAGAGGAGGCGGCGTGAGGGATGAGGAAGAAAATGTAGACTCCAGAGACCACTAGGCCCGCTGCCACCAGCACGGCCAGTGCCACCGCCGCGTTGAAGGCCCAGGCCGGGCTGTCTAGCGTTGGGCGGCGCGACAGCGGGCGGCCGAGACGCAGCGGCGGGGGTGGCGGGGGCTGCGCGGTACGCGCCTTGCGGGGCCCAGGTGCGGGCGGCGGGCGCAGGTAGAGCAGACCTCGGCGTCGATCAAAGCGCACCGAGCCCTGGCGTGGCAGCGGCGCGCGCGCTTCGCGGGGCAGCAGGCCAGCCTGCGTGGGCAGTGCGGGCAGCCCGCGGCGCGGGGCCAGGCGCGTGGGGGCGCGACATACCGGGCAAGCCACCGCGTCGCCGCCACCTGCTGTGGCCAGTGACAGGCGGGCCAGGCACTCGAGGCAGAAGACATGGCCGCAGTCCAGGCGCTTGGGAAGCTTGAAGACTCCGTCGAAAGGCGACACGCAGATGAGGCACTCCACCGGGGAGGCGGGGGCCAAGATGGGGTCTGATCCCGGGCTGCCCTCGGCCTCCTCATCCTCGTCCTCCCCTCTACTCGGGGAGCGGGGCGCAGAAAGTGAGCCCGGGGAACTGGGGCCCGAGCCCTGAAGGACCCGGGAGCGGCGGAGCCAAGGCGGTCGAGGGCAGGGCATCCAGACCTGGCCTGTGGAGAGAGGCAGTCAGGCAGCGTGAACGGGGTCTGAGACTCCAGGCTGGACCTTGGAGAGGGTCACCCGGAACAGGGCAGGGTCTCTAGAGAAGTGGGCAGCTAGCAGAGAGGAGCAGAGTTTGGGGTAACAGAGGAGACTGGAGACCACAGAACCTGAACCAAAACTTGGGATATACTGGGGATACAGATCAGAACCAAATAGGGGCATGAGAGACTGGACCTAGGGGTGACCACAGGACACTCCAGAGAGGAGGGATACTGGAGCCAAAGCACAGGCACCTAACAGCAGAGAAGCCCAGGACAGGGACAAAGGGCCCCCCAGAAAAGGACTCTTCCTACCTGTGGACACTTCCCTCTGGCTGGTGGTGTTATGCTGGCCCCAGTTTCTGGCCTGAGTCTGGGTACCTAAGTGTCCCTCCCTGGGGAGGGTGCCTAACCTGGGGCCGCCCTTTCAGGTCCCAGTTTCCTGAAGGACTCGTCTGACTACCCGCCCCACCCCCTAGGCAGTACTGCCAGGAGCTCCAAGCCTGACCTTGGCCGGATGTCGGGGGTGGTGGGAAGGTGACAGCACAAAGTGGGCAGACATAAGCATGACCCACCCATCAAAACTTGATGAATTTCCACCATGGAATCACCACTGATGGCCCTGGCTGGGTCCCAACCTGTCCCTAGCATCCTGGTGAATCTGCATGGGCTGTTACTAGAGCAAGAGGGCACGTGTTGGCAGCTGGGCTGCAGCCACCAGTGTGGCTGGGTAAGTAGCCTGGGCAAAGTGAAGCTGATCCACAATCCCAGAGGGTGGGAGATGGACAGCTGGACCCATCAGCCAGTAGCCAAGGAGTTGGGAATGGCTGTCATCCAAACAGGTCTTTATTTCTCCCTGGGGCTGCTTTTAGGCAGCATGCTTCTCAGACCACCCAGACCTTAGCCCTACCCAAGCTGTTCCAGACCAGGAATCACCTGACGCTCCAGGCCTTTGAACGTTATGGCCCTTGGGTGGCACCTGTGGCTCAGTGAATAGGGTGCCAGCCCATAGATAGAGGTTGGTAGGTTCAAACCTGGCCCTAGCCAAACTGCAACAACAAAAAAGCTGGGCCATGTGGCGGGGACCTGTAGTCCCAGCTACTTGGGAGGCTGAGGCAAGAGAATCACCTCAGCCCAAGAGCTGGACGTTGCTGTGAACTGTGATGCCACAGCACTCTACTGAGGGCGACAAAGTGAGACTCTGTCTCTACAAAAAAAAAAAAAAAGTTATAGTCCTTAAAGCAGCCAGTGCTATGATGCTCTGGTCTGTACCCTGTGCCCCACCTGCTAGCCATGGTTCTGTGTCAATGGTGCTTCTAGGTTCCCAGAGACCAAGGGACATGCCAGAACATGAACAGTTAAAGGTCATCCTGCCCTTTCCAGCACTGCCCCCCAAAACAACCACACAGGTGGGCAGGGTACCCCAAGGGCAGACAGGTTTATTAGGCAGCAGCCGAGAAATCAGCGGTTTGACTTGGCCACACGCTCCAGCTCATCCTTCTTCTTGATGGCATAGGAGTTGGAAGAGCCCTGAAAAGAGGCAGATGGTTAGCTCTTGATTTTGGAGAACCCCCACCAAATGCCCAACTTGTGACCCTGCCAAGGTCCCTCCCTACCCACCTTAGCAGCATTGATGAGCTCATCTGCCAAGCACTCAGCGATGGTCTTGATATTCCGGAAGGCAGCCTCACGGGCGCCTGTGCACAGCAGCCAGATGGCCTAGGGAGCACAGTGGTCAGGTTAAGGCTACCAATACTCTGGTCCTCCAGTACCCTGGCCCACCCTCAACAGATGTGTTGGCTGCCATGCTCTCTCACTAACTCACTGAGACAAGATGTAAGGAGAGGTGGCATCATGCCATATCAGGGATCAGGGGAATGGAAAAGCAAGCGTCCAAAGAAACACACAAAGGTTGCACTGGGTACCAAATGATAGGAGACTGGTGACAGCAAAATGCAACCTATAGAGCTGGGCATGGTGGCTCACCCCTGTAATCCTATCACTTTGCAGGGGGTGGGGAGGGGAGGATCACTTGGGGTCAAGATCAGCCTAAGAGACCTGTCTCTACAGAAAAAACAGAAAACATAAGCTGGGCATGGTGGTGGACATCTGTAGCTTCTAGTACTCTGAAAGCTGAAGCAGAAGGATAGTATGAGCCCAGGAGTTTGAAGCTGCAATGACATGATACTACCACTGCACTACAGTCTGGGTGAAAGTCTCAAAAAGAAAAAGCAACATAAGCTCTTGACCTGGACTCTTGACAGACCAGGAAAAACTACAATGGGCATACTGAGGACAGATGTTTAAGCGGAACAATGACCAATTCAATATAGCTCTATAGTTCTCAAGAAATTCACTATAGCTGGGTGCATGGCTCCTGCCTGTAATCCTAGCACTCTGAAAGGCCACAGCAGATGGATTGCTTAAGCTCAGGAGTTCAAGATCACGCTGAGCAAGAGCAATACCCCGTCTTTAGAAAATAGCCAGGTGTTTAGAAAATAGCCAGGCGGTGCCTGTTGCTCAGTGAGTAGGGAGGGCACCGGCCCCATATACTGGAGTTGGCAGGTTCAAACCTTACC